TTTAATATATTTATAACTGAAAAGTATATTTGTGAACACGTACATAAAATTTAATGTACTTTACATGAAAATTTATTAAATTTAATGTACATGTTCACAAATATACTTTTCAGTTATAAATATATTAAATTTAATATATCACATGAAATTAAATTTGTTCCTAGGCAAGGTGGGAGCCTTCCACCTTCCACTGGAAGGTGGGATAGATCTCGTTACTTTTAAGATCTGTAGTTACATTTAAGTAACTACACACACACACGCACGCACGCGCACACACACACACACACACACACACTGTAACTTAATTTTCAGTTAAATCATGCGACCGCTTGTACTTCAAAGGCACTCACCGATAAGACTGAACTACGCGTTTGCCGTGCCTGGTGAATCAGGCGACTATACCATACTTGCAAAAAATCGCGGCATCTCGTCGCCTTCAAAATAACTCAAGCGGCCAATCAGGGCTGCTCTCTCTGTCGCATGTTCCACCACGCATACGCATTAGGTTGTATTTTCATGCTGACGCTTGTGTCGACTTTCGATTCGAGCGTCAAACAGGTCACGTGATCAAAATTGATGCTTGTTATTCGTCAATTTTGATCAGGGGACCTGTTTGAAGGCTTAAGCTGGTTCTACATTAGTTGCAAGCCGATCGCAAATTTTGTTGCGATAGCCAATATGAAGCGTTGATTTCAAAATGCAAGCTTCAGAGATTGGCTGTTGCAACAAACTTGCGATCGGCTTGCAACTAATGTAGAACCGGCTTTAAACACAATAGGCACAGGCAATAAGGAAATTCCCTTCAAATTCCACTTCAAATTAATTCTTTTTTAATTATACAGTTTATACTAGTACTATACCTATTTCTAAATAAAATATGAAAAGTCGATCAGTTAGTTTTTAAGTTATTCTGTAAGCTGGAAATAGTTGACACCATTATTATTTTGTATTCAAAGAATATCTCTTAATATTCTAAAAAATTTTATTCGGATACCATCAACGGAAGTCAATTTTGTAAATCAAGAGACACGGTAATGTCTCGCGCCAAGTGGGCGCGCAGCGCGAGACACGCGTGTCTTTACGCGAGTCAGCG